TAATCTTCAGTAGAATCTTGCTTGCATGTGAAATCAATGACACTGTTCTGTAGTTTCCACACTCAGTTGGGTCACCTTTCTTTGGAATGGGAACAAATATGGATCTCTTCCAGTCAGTTGGCCAAGTGGTGGAGGAATATCAATATATCCATGTAGCATTTGGCTAAGCATCTTGTCCAAAATGAAATCTACTCTATTGGTTTGCTCACAACAATATTACAGTTCTTTTCAAGCAGCTTAAATATCAACCTATGTACTTTTTAAAAATTCACTTTTAAAACTTGTAGACTGTTTCCCAGATCCCTACTCTTACTGTTAATCTGCTTCTGGAAAACAAGCCAAAACATCTTGATAACCAGTCTCATTTTCTGAGCTATGACAGTTGGTTTTGCTGCTGCTTCGGCACATTGCTGGACTGACTTCTGGAAAATCAAAGGCTTGCTCAGCTTGAGATAATCAGCTCTAGCCTTCTGCATGTCTTCTTACTTCTTTTCATGACTTACTGTTCTTTCTTTTCATGACTTACTGTTATTTCCAAACATAAGCCATTTTCTTTCATGTTTTCTTTTCTCTCTAAAGAGATAAGCACTAAGAACAGTAAAGAGAAACACATTCCTAGCTCTAAGAGGATAGGCCCCTGGTCTTTTATTTGCAGAGTATCTATGTAAGAGAGATAAACTTAGACAAGCCACAGTGTTCTGGATTCTGTAACACACATAGTCCCAGGATTTGAGATAAGCCTACAGACCTCTGTTAGCTACTTTTCAAAACCTTCTGTGTCCTGTTGTTGCGAAAGCAAGGAGTGAGGCTCCCTGTTTCTAATCTTTATAGATCCACATGGTGTCCTTGTCCAGTGCCCATTCTGTCAAAGCTTAATCAAGACAGGATCCTGAAAGTGTGGTCCCCAGACCAGCAGCATCAGCACCACTTGCGAACTTGTTCGAAATGCAGACTTTTTAAAAAAAATTTTATTTTATTATTTTGTGTGTGTACCGTCAAAACAGATCTGACTGGTACAGGAGGAGATTACCCCTCCTTGTCCAGCAGAGCATCTGGTGGATTCGAACCGCTCTCCTCTGGGATTGTAGTACAGCTACTTGCCACTAGGCTACCAGAGCTCCCTAAAATGCAGACTCTTGAGCCTTGCCCCAGACCTACTGAATCAGGAAATGCAGGGCCAGCCTGTCACTCTGCATTTCTAATTTTTTTTTTAATTACTATTTTGTGCATGTACCGTCCAATCGGGTCCGACTGGCACAGGAGGAGATTGCCCCTCCTTCTCCAGCAGAGCATCTGGTGAATTCGAAGCACATACCTCTGGGATTGCAGTGCAGCTTCTTGCCACTAGGCCACCAGAGCTCCCTTGTCACTCTGCATGTCTACCAATCCTTCTTGTGAACCATTGGGTAAGCACACGATGATCCACAGCCAAATTTCCACCCCAAACCAGTAAGCACAACATGCTCAAGCTTTAGTATGCTCTGGTGGCATAGGCCCTAGGGAGTTGCACTGTGACCCCTCCCTGGTAGTTACTTGGCAACGGTGAGACCCATAGAACGCCATCTTGGCAAAGTACTACCACGGACTAGTCAACAGGCCCAGTGAAGCGTATGCATGCCTTGCTTCATAGACAAGCTGCATCTTGGTCCACAAGTGTGTTTTTCTGTATTCCTAGTAAGGTAAGAACGGGTTTGACCTCTTTTTAAAATGATTGGGGAAAAGTGGAAAGAAGCCTCTTCTTTTTTTAAAACATTATTATTAAATTTTATTAGTTTTAGTGAACATTTACAGAGATTTGGGGTTTTCATTCATTCATTGTTGCAGAAGCCTGTTCTTGTGACAGAGGACAGTTACTAATTTCCATGTCTGTTAATCTAGCGTTAGTTTGGAATAAAGACACCCCCCATTCCGTATACATCATTTAGGGCTGTTTTAGGAGCCCTGGTGGTACCGTGGTTAAAGCACCAGGCTGCTAACCCAGAAGTCTGTGATTTGACCCCACCAGCGGCTCCCACACATGGTCAGGAGGGACCAGTCCTTGGAGAGGGACATCATACTCGGAAGGGTGGAGGGACAGCACAGGAGAGGAAGACCCCCCTGGATAAGATGGATTGACACAATCACTGGGGCAGTGGGGGTAGGTGTGTCAGAGACAATAAGGTCAGCATAGAGCAGTGTTCAGGGCTGTTGTCTGCGTCTCTGTGAGTTGCAGGTGACCCAAAGCACATAACAACAACAGCAATAAGAAGCAGCTCCCTGGGAGAAAGACCTGCCATAAATATCACAGCCTTTCAGAGAATGGAGGGGAGAATACAAAATTAATTAATCAGTAGACAGCAACAACTAAGGTAGGATAATATGGACTGAATGGAGGATCGCATTCTGATTCTGATTCACGATATGGAACAAAGTGTGCATGAATGACTGAAGAAAAAACAAACCGAGCCCAGTACCCTCTGTAAACTTACCCTCAAATCACAGCTGAAATAAAGGATGTATTGATTAAAGGGGGGAAGAAAGAGTTCACAGCCTTGGCAGCTCTGGAGCTGCTCTGCTCTGTCCTCTTGGGGCGCTGTGAGTCAGCGGTGACTGAATGGCCCAAAACAGCATGCCTGCTTCTGCGGGACAGCACCAGAGTTGAATGAATACTCAGGACAGAGACCAGATGGCCTGCAAAGCGGAAAAGATTTACCATTTGGCTCGTTGCAGAACAACTTTGCCAACCCTTGATCCAGCTCAGCAGTCAACTTGAAGACTGTTAAAAGCAGGAAGGCACCTTCCTGCATCAGAAAATGGCCTGATTTCTGATTGCATGTGAAAGTTAATATATTTACTAGGTCACTGTTGTAGTTCTGTATCAAAATCATCTGTGTATACTACTTGGGTGGAGTGAAAGCCAGGTGGTAGGTGGACATTTTCAATTTTGTTATTCTGAAGTATTTCATAGTCTTAACTTTTTTTGGTTGAGACGGGAGGAAAATTAATTTCTTGTTGAATTGTTCTGAACTTAAACCTTTTTTGCCTTCCAGGACTTTCATGGGACTGTGTCCTGTTTATAGTGTATTGTAATATTTTATGTTGTGCAAAGTTCGATAGCTTTGTGTTACTTCTTATCCAATTGCAATACTGTAAGTACTCTACACCATGAGTTCATGCTTATTGTAAAAGATAGGAAAGGGACAGTGTGAACTGCTCTTCAGATTTTCAAGATCTCTACTGGAAATGAAATCCTCTTAACTTTTTGTTTTGAGTGAAGAGCATGAAATTGTAGGTTTTAAGAATGCCACCCACTTGAGTGTGTACATTCAGATGTCTGTGGTATTTGTATATTGGAGTTTTGATTCTGATTTTCTTGGTCATTTAACAGTGAGGACCATGCAGCCCAATGGGCAGTCAGTCTTTACTTGTACAATGCATTGACATTTAGTCATGAATATGTATTAACTCTTCTATTTTTGTGTGTGTCTTAATAAATTGTGTTCCTTAGGCCACTTGTTCCAGCGATGGGATGTCCCCCTAGAACTGAAGATGACAAGACAAATGGCTAGCTCTGGTGCCTCAGGGGGCAAATTCGATAATACTCTATTATTCCTTTTTGCGGGCTTATCAGCTGTAGGCGCTGGTGTATATGTAAGTAGAAAAGCAGTTTGTGTAAAGCAGCTACCCAACCGCTCCCATTAGTGGACTCTGCTTTCTTCTCTGCTTTCAGACTTTCGCTATTAATTCCTTCTCCTTTTAGAAAAATTTCCACAGAGCCTTCTTTAAAGTGCTTACCATCTAATGTCTTAGGAGAGCCAATTTGGGAATGACTGAAATGTAATTTCATGCTGGTTGAGCTCTGCTTTTTCCAATCATCTTAGATTTGACTAACCCACAAAATTGTATGTTTTCTGGGATGTGACACACTAACCTCTGAACAAGGTCAGAATTCCTTCCAACTCCTTAGCACAATACTTGATTCTGCTTGATTTTTGTCAACTCTTTTCTTTTTCCTCAGTTTGAGACAATATTTTTTTAAAATTATTGACAGTCTTTGATTAAAAATATTACATACGCCAAAGAAGAACTATATCCTCAACTCTCACCCTATGACTAAATTATGGAAGCAGGCACAGTATCCCTTGTAATTTTAATTTTTTATTTTTTTTTTCATTGTTGTGTACCATCAAATTGGATCCAACTGGCACAGGAGGGGCTTGCCCCTCCTTCTCCAGCAGAGCATCTGGTGCATTCGAACCATGCACCTTCGGGATTGCAACACAATTTCTTGCCAGTAGGCCACCAGAGTTCCCTTCCCTGGTAATTTTAGAGTCGAGTTTGTATGAGGTGACAAAGAAGGTGCTTAAGTCATTGCTATGCAGTAGTGACCCAGTTACAGCTACTTAAATGAACTCTGATCAGTTTAGTTGGTCACAGAGGAATTATTCTGTGAGTAATTTTTTTTAACTTGGCAGAGTTTACTGTGACTAAGCAGATCAGTGCAAAGTTGGATCATGTGAGGTTGAGTGAACCAGCTTAGATAACAAACAGTAACACCCCTAACCGAAGGGAGCTTTCTGTTTCACTTATTAACGGTTGGAAGCCATGACCCTTTTAGATCTTGCTAAAAACTAGAAAATCTTTTTTTACAATTTTTAAGTTTGGTGGTGTTTTTTTTTTTTAGATTCCAACTCAAGACAGTGATTTTTTAGCTTTGTTCCTTGGTCACTGCTGTCAAATGGACCCTGCCTCATGGTGACCCCGTGCGTGTCAGAGTAGCATTGTGCCTTTTAAGGTTTTCACTGGCTTTCATTTTTTTGGAAGTGGTCGCCAGGCTTTTCTTCCAAGGTGCTTCTGGATATATGCAAATTGCCAACTTTTTGGCTAGTGGCTGAGTGTGTTACCAAAAAGGGACATGGAAAGGATCTTAAGTTACCTGCATACTCCTAGGGAACCCTGGTGGTGTAGTAGTTGAAAAGTTTAGCTGATAACCCACAGCCACTCACTCCACAGGAGGACAGGCAGTCTGTTTCCATAAAGATGTATGGCCTTAAACAGCCTATTTTACTCTATCCTGCTAGGCCATGACCTTGATGGCAGTGAAGGTTTTTTGCTTATAGCCTCAGTGCCCTGATTTGACGCATAACGCAGAAGAGTAGATTACTCTTTACAGTGTGCCCGTCAGAATGCGAAACAGGCGATAGCTGTCTGATAGATAACGTACTTGGAGGAAATACAGATTTCTCCTCCACCCCTGGAGCATCTTTTTTTTAAAAAAAAAAAAAAAAAGAGGGAGCTCTGGTGGCCTAGTGGCAAGAAGCTGCACTGCAATCCCAGAGTAATGTGGTTCAAATCTACCAGATGGTCTACTGGAGAAGGAGGGGCAATCTCCTCCCGTACCAGTCAGATCTGATTTGATGGTACATACACAAAAAAGAAAAAAAAGCACAGAGTCACAAAAAATACTTCCTCATCTTTGCATTGACTGTTTCTTCACTAATACTTAGTTCCCTTTCTGTTCCCTTTTGTTTCTGTCTTGGCCTTAGCTTTACCTACAGTTGTGCAGTATCACCACTAAAGATCCCTTTCTAGATCACTGGCATCTGCAGGTGCCTCTGGGAAAGATCGCAGCAGCCTAGTATACTTCTTAATTGTAGGAGCAACAGTCACTGGGCAGGAGTTTATTATGTAAGATGCTTACACTGAAATACATTTTGGGCTAAGGTGGGCGAGAACTGTAGCCTTAATGGAAACTGGAGCTATTAGAAGGCAATGAAATGTTCACAGCATGTGCTTCCTAGACATTGGTTAAAGGTCAGTCACTAGGGAGTTCTAGACCTCATTCTAAAAACAGAAGTTTAATGCTTATTACACATCACAGCATCAACCCATTGGAAACGCCCGCCAATTGCAGAGTTCTTTTTTTTTCCTCTCCTAAATGATACTGTGCTTTAGTGCTACATACCAAACTGGGCAGTTTTAACTAGTAAACATTAAATAAGCAATTAAAGGTAACACAAGCACCATCCGTTTTGAGTCACTTTAGGTAAAATGTAATTTTTGTGTTTTGTGGGAAACAGTCGGTCAACCTGGCATTATTGTGCAAAGGCATTTTACTGAATGCTTCTGAGGAAGTCTGAAAATAGAAGTCTCCCCACCTACCCCCGACCTCATTTCCAAAGTATATTTATTTGCTGGGCAGGGTCCCTTTTGTAGTCTCCAATTTGGTCAAACCAGTGACTGAAGTGGTACAAGCTAACACGGTTCATGTAGATTGCTTCCTTAAATGTCTCTCATTCCTAATTCAGATACTACCCCTCAGCCTTAACTTTGCCATTTCTTATCTCTGTCTCTGTTGTTCTACTCTCAAAAACAGACTGGGAGTTTGGGTTTGATGTCTGTGTAACGACTTAAACCCCTGGTTTCTGTTTCTGTACCAGAGTTGGATGGTTTCCACAGGGTTGACTAAGCAAATTCCCTTGACGCCAGACCTAAAGACAGGGCTGGCCATGGTTTCTTTCTCTCCCCCTAGAAATATCTCAAGATGCATAAGTTCCTCTCAAGCCATACACTTAAATGCCTCACTGCTCTCTGAGTCATCCAATGCTGGTGATTATAATGCAGTGGTTCCAGGTTAAATGATAAGCTTTTGTCTGCGAGCAACTGTTATCAGCTATTTGGTACCACCTTAGATTTTCAGTTGTTAAAAAAACCCAAACTTGATCTGAATTAGCTTAGGTTTTTTTTTCCTCTGCAATTGATACTCTTCTCAAACACAGTGTTAACTTAAAATCTAGTGCCGATTTGATGAGATGGCTAAATAAATTAGTATCCTCTCATAATTTTTTCTTCCTCATATGAGGAAGTGCTCTTAAGTATGATATTACTTTAGTACTCCCTATGCCAAGATAAAATGTTTTCCCTCCAAATTAATAGGAATTAAGTTAATAGTAAATCCTTGGGATTGCCTTTTTTTTTTTACTTAAAAATCTTCTGAAAACAAATTTTTTTGTAATTTTTTTTTTCCCCTTTGGAATTATCTTTTAATGTACAGGACTAGTTCCCAGATTAAGACAGGCTTGGAAGCAGGATTGGCATCCCATTCCTAAACAACGTGCCTTTGGAAACTCTCTGAACATTAGAGAAATGATGATAGTTACAGAATAGGGTTCAGATCTTTTGTTCATAGGGTCGCTATGAGTCATGCTTAACTCTGTAACACTTAACAATAACAACTAGCTTTCTACTCCATTTGTATCCCATGCTAAATGTCTTTCTGGACTAATTATGGGTTTCAGGATCCAAGGCCTTTATTGCAGCATATTGTCTTAATATCCTCTGGAAGGGGGGATCATAGACATATTTTTACAATGTGTTTTATGCTCCTTTCTCAGATAGTTTTCACTTTCTTCTGCATCCAATAATGCAGAATGACATTTAACATAGTCATTTAAATCCTTGTCTTGTTGAGCCCTGTGGGATACAGACAAAACAAAAGTGTTGTGACTGAAAAAGTCATGCTTGCTTAACTGCTTTTTTTATCTCCAGTAAATAAACCCTGGTACTGTGTGTTAAAAGAAACCCAATTAATCATAATGGTTCTGTTGGACCCATTCCATTTTATAAAGAAGATACTTGAAATACAACAGAGTGCAAGCAAAATGTTACCCCTTAATATCTGTATCCTATTTCCTAATAAGACTCCTTCTGCCTCATCAGTTTAGGAAAAGAATAGGTCACTGAGGAGAAAATGAATTACTGTATGAAAATAGGTGGGAGCACAGATGGCAAGAAGCTGCGCTGCCATACTGAAGGCACACAGTTAAAATCCACCAGCTGCTTGGCAGAAGAAGACTGGGCAGTCTCCTCCTGTGCCATTAACTGCCTTTGAAAACCCACCAGGGGGTCAGCTGTGGGTCAGTTCTGACTCAATGACACATAACAACAGCAGCAGCAAGCAGCAGTATGCGAATAGGATACACGTGACCATGTTTCCCTCATCTGAGTATCTGTTAGTTCTCCAGGGTCTTAGTCTAGTGCTGCTGTAACAAAAAATATCATTAATGAGTGGGTGGCTTGACAGAACAGAAATTCATTTTCTCACACTTCAGGAGGCTAGAAGTGTAAATTCAAGGCACCAACTCTAGGGGAAAGCTCACCCTCTGTTGACTCGGAGAAGATCCTTGTCCCTTTCAGACTCTATACCCTCATTTTCCCTTGGTTAATGACCTTCACGTGGCATCTAGATTTCCCTGTTTGTGCTTTCTTGTCTCTGTTCATGTTGCTCCTTGGAACGCAGAAGTGATTAGATTTAGGGCACAGTCTTTACAAAGAAAGCCCTCTTTCCAAACAGGGTATATAGGGGCTAGGATTCCGCTAAATATTTGGGGGGAGGATCCAGTTCAGTCCATAACTAACACCCATTAAAACGTGGGGTGAAGAAACTTATGTCATAGCTTCCCAGCAAAGACCAGGACCCTGTATAGATTGATTTCACAACTAATGTCCAGTGTAGTCCAGAAACCTCTTTCTGCCTGGTAGAATTAAGTCTGGTCCTTCCTAGCCCTTCTTTTACTAGAATAAAATATTTCTGTTGATTTCTGAGTTGTACCTTCAGCATTGAAGATCAGAGCCCTTGACATAGAGCCTAACAGTCTGAAAGCTGAGCTCTTCCATCTGCTTACCTTGTTTGTTGTTGTTATGTGCTGTCGAGTCACTTGAGACTCATAGCGACCCTTATGTACAATAGCCCTAAACCCTGCTCTATCCCGTGCCAGTCTTATTGTCTCTGACGTACCTGTCCCCATTACCCCAGTCACTGGATCAATCCATCTCATCAAGGGTCTTCTCCTGCACTGTCCCTTTCTCAACCAATATTTTTCATCTTTTTTTAAAAAAAAATAATTTTGCCTTGGCAGTTTCAGCATAGAGCAGGCGACCTCATGTAGACAAAAGGCTTACCATTTACTGGAGAGATAATGATATTTTAAATGGCATGAGCTAACTATGTGGTGAAATAACTTTTTCCGTGTTTGGATCTACAGACCTACAGAACTATAAAAAATGACCAAAAAAGATACAACGAAAGAATTTCAGAAATAGGGCTGACACCAGAGGAGAAACGGAAAAGGGCCGCATCACCCGGTGAGTAGTGTGAAGGGAAAATTGTGAACTGTTCACACACTGTTTAAGACTATCTTCTTTATTTTATTTTATTTTTTTAAATTTTTTTATTACTATTTTTTGTGCATGTACTGTCAAATCAGATCTGACTGGTACAGGAGGAAATTGTCGCTCCTTCTCCGGCAGAGTGTCTGGTGGATTTGAACCATGTACCTCTGGGATTGCAGTACAGCTTCTTGCCACTAGGCCACCAGAGCTCCCCTTACGACTATCTTCTAAGATGCAGTGAGGTTGTAAGCTTCAGGGAGACATTTGTGAAAAACACGTGGCTAGCATTTGGGGTTAAGAATATATATTGTTGTTGTTAAGGGAGCTCTAGTGGCAAGAACCTGCACTGCAATCCAAGAGGTGTAGGGTTTGAATCCACCAGATGCACCGCTAGAGAAGGAGGAGCAGTCTCTTTCTGTGCCAGTCGGATCCAACTCGACGGTATACACACACACAAGAATATATATTATTGTTGCTGTTGTTGCTGCTGCTGCTGTTGTGTACCATAGAGTCGGCAACCCATAGCTGACCCTCTGGCGGGTTTTCAGAGACACACAGGAGAAGATTGCCCATCCTTGGCCTCAAACCGTGTGTCTTTGGAATTGCATGGCAGCTTCTTGCCATCAGGCCACCAGAGCTCCCTAGAAGAATGTGTGTGTGTGTGTGTGTGTGTGTGTGTGTGTGTGTGTATTAGAATGAAGACTATGGTTCTTAGTTTTCTTTATGTTACACTGAAAAAAAAATTTTAAAGATGTAAGCTTGGTGATTACAACTATTGGAAAAGAGATGAAAGCTGGTTTTTTTTTCCATGGAAGAAATTCTTTTGTTCTGTTGTGTTCCCTTTTTTAGTCTTTGGTGTTTCAAGTTATTAAAGATAGATTTTTTTATTTTTCCTAAAGCATAGAGCCCTAAGTGTCACTTCTATCTCAAATGATTTGTTTGATATTTTTTTTCCAGAGAGAGAGGAATGCTTTAATCCTTTAATAAGCCCAAACCCAAACAACACTGGGTGGGCGGTTTGTGTTGCTTTCCTCAATAACACCTCGTTATTCTTGAAGACTGTAGAATGACACCCACACCCCCTGACCTGCAGGGCTTTCCCTGTTGATTGTGAATGAAAGGTGAAAATCAACTTGTTATTTTCCTGTTGGTCAATAAGAAATTAATAGGAAGGGCAGATGCAGTAACCCGTACTTTGTAATATATTTTAGAAATAACTAAGCATTAAAGCTAGGTTTATGTTTCAGTAAAGACTTTGCGAAAGAATGGCATTGGTCAAATGGCCCACTTCTTTTTTTGGTGGTGAACAAAAAAGTTTAAAGTATAAAGCTACTATGTACTAAAGTATAAAGCTAGGGAGCTTTCGTGGCTTATTGGTAAGGAATTGTGCTGCCAATCCCAGTGTTCTTGGTTCGAATCCACCAGCTGCTCTGCAAGAGAAAGATGGATAATCCCTTCCCATGCGATTTCCTACCTCTGAAAACTTGCTAAAGGGTCAGCTGTGGGTCAGTTCCAACTCGATGGCAACTCAACACATGGAAGGAGTTGTTGGCTTTTTCATACTAGTGACAAAGACTCATCCTAGACTTTAAGGAGATTCACCCTGTCCCTGTCTTGCTTCCAACTTCAGAAGGAGAGCCAGTTCCTCAAGTCAAGCCACCAGCTCATGTTCCTTTCCTGCTCATTGGAGGAGGCACAGCTGCTTTTGCCGCAGCTAGGTCCATCCGGGCACGGGATCCTGGGGCCAGGGTAAGGTGCCCGTGAATGGGCTTGGCACAGGGGGGTATCATCTGACAGCACTTAGCCAGTGTGAACACTTTGCCATTTGCCTCTTGAATGACTCAGCTCTAATAAATGCCTTTCTTTTTTTGTGTTCCAGGTACTGATTGTAACAGAAGATCCAGAGCTGCCATACATGAGGCCTCCTCTGTCCAAAGAACTGTGGTTCTCAGATGACCCAAACGTCACGAAGACACTGCGATTCAGACAGTGGAATGGAAAAGAGAGAAGGTGTGTGCACATCTGTAAAGCAGACCTGCCTTACTGCATAGGCAAAGCACAGGGAGTGGGTTATGACTGTGAGTGGTGAGCAGGAGGGGTACTACCTGCACGCTGCGGTTAGCGACAGACATACGTGTAATACAGCTAGGCTAGAAGCAGCAGTCCAGGTGGGCAAGAGTTTGGGATTCAGATAAAAGATCATCCAATAATTGACCGTCTAATGCTGCCCTCTAAAATGCCCAGGCTCCCATTTCCAGGACCTTGTTATTAGACTCCTGGTGAGAATCAGCCTGACCTGTGTTACTCCTTTATACCTGTGCATGTCCCTGTAAGATCACAAACTGTTGAATGGCGCTTTCTTTGGGACCCGAGCAGGCATTTAGAATCGGTGGCAATAGCAGTAGGAAGAGCGACTTTAATAAATGTTGCACAAGAGACTTGAAAGAATCTCATTCATGGTCCCTTTGATACTGAACCAAGTTTTACAGGTCTTCCCACCTCTGTCTCTTCTGCAGTCTCAAACATCAGGGTACATACTTCAAATTTAGTTTGTCACCCCTTAATTAATGTCTCATGTCACTTCAGGAGGTAGACTTGGTGCCTTCCATTGACCAGCACAATTCTGGGCAACTTGTATAGTAGAAAGGCGAATGCCAGTTCTTGCTTGCACCTCTTGGTCTTACATTGATGTGAATTTAAATCTAGAATCACGTTTTCTTTACCCCTAATCCTATTGACATTTGAGGCGGGATCTTTCTCTCTGTGGGAGTTACTCTGTGCAACATAGGATGTTTAATAGCACCCCTGACCTCTGTGTATTAGATGTCAGTAGCACCCTTCTGCTTTAGGACAATGGAATGTGTCTTCAGATACTGCTAATTATTCCCTGAGGGAGGGAAAAAATGCTCACATCGGAACCACTGACTGACGGTACCTCTGTGTAAGTAATATTTAGTAACCTTGGAGACTGACTATGGAAAAATATTCCCAAAATGATTTTCATGATAGAAACAGTTTTACTTCCGCTGTAGGGAAGCAGGTAGGAATTCTGGGTTTGTGTAACATTTCCCCCCCTTCTCTGTACAGCATATACTTCCAGCCACCTTCTTTCTATACCTCTGCACAAGACCTGCCTCACGTTGAGAATGGTGGCGTGGCTGTCCTCACTGGGAGGAAGGTGAGCTAGTACTTGGATTCCTGTGCTGGGCTCTTTGCATGTGCATGTGTGGGCAGCCAGTGCCTCTTGTGTCTGTCCTGCCATCGAAGAAACATCCAGAAGCATTTCTAGGCTTACCATTGTCAGTCTGCCCTGCTGCTTGCGCTCTGCTGAGGAGTGACAGTAGTGTGCTCACTACATGTTTCCAGGAAGCCAAATGGTTGGGAACCTCAACCCTAAAGACCTTTATCTCGCTTGATTTGCTCATGTGCCTTTCCTCCTTCCTGTTTGTCCACTTCCTTAAGGAGCTCTGACAACCTCGTGTGTAGGGAGTTGCGTTGCTCACTGCCTCTGACAGTTCAAATCCACCAGTGTCTCGCTGGGAGAAAAATAGGCAGTCTCCTCGCATGCACTTTACAGCCTCTGAAAACCTGCTGGAGCGTCACCTATGAGTCTGTTCTGACATCACAGCAATGAGAAAGGCAGGGAAAACTTATCTTTGGCATTATAAATGACAGGAGACTGACGAAAAAATTATAAACTATCCAAGACAATAAAATAATCCGGCATTGAAAATATTATTACAAGTTACAAAGAAGATGTCCTAAATAATGTAGCACCTGTTAGAGGATATTTGTGGGGTCAGGGAATGTTGTGTCTTGTGTTATATATATTTTGTTGTCGGTGGCCAGTGCTAGTGGGAATGCACTAAGTAATTACTAAGTAATTTCGACCTCTCCAAATTTCTGGGGAGCAATGATGTCACTTTAAAGACTAAGGTGTGTTTGATAAAGGCCATGCTCTTTTCAATTACTTGTATGACTCTGAGAGCTAGACAGTGAATAAGGATGACAAAAGAGTTGATGCACTTGAATGATGGGTGTTGGAGAAGAGTATTGAATATCCCATGCACTGCCAAAAGAACAAACGTATTTCTTGGAAAAAGTGTGGCCACAATAGTCCTTGGAGGCAAAGACCATAAAGCTTCATCTCACATACTTTGGGCATGGTGGTAGGGGAGGCTCTTATTCCTCAGAAAGGGACATCATACTTGGAAGCGGAGGTCAGCAAAAGAAAAGAGGACCCGCAACGAGATGGCTTGACACTGTGACTTCCAGCAATGGGCTCAAGTATGTCAGAGATGATAAGGATGGCACAGGATAGGGCAGGGTTCAGATCTGTTGTTTATGGGGTTACCATGAGCCACACTTGACTCGACAGCACCTAACAGTAAAAAGTAGGTTTGCAGACTAATGGGAATGGTTAATAGAAAGGAAGGTGTTATCTGAAGAAATACAACCCAGAGTAGGTAGGATCCAGTGTGCATGCAGAGAACTTGACTTTGGAGAGGGACAGGCCCACTTTTTGCCCCTGTGAGAGGTTATTAGGCAGTTAATGTTGTTGTTTGGTGCCGTTGAGTCATAGACGACTCATAGCGACCCTACGCATGAAAGGCCTAAGCACTGTTCGTTCGTACATAGAGTTTCCGGAGGCAAGCCATTTCAGAAGTGGATGCCGCTCCTGCTTCCAGGCTTGTTTTATTCGGGAAGCTCCAGCCAACACTGTCCACCATGGGTACCGATTACCACGTTTGGCACATCACTGTCACAGTCTTCAGCATCACAGCAACCACGAGTTACCTCTGTACAGCAACGCACAGACCAGTGCTATACCACCTAGAAGAATGTTTGACAGGAAAATAATTTGAACCTGGCTGAGGGCCGCAGATAAAATCACTCACCTTCGGCTTGGTAACATAACTTTCTGTCCAGTAGGGCCAACGTAGCTCTCTCTCGCTCCTCGTTGTTATTGTTGTTTGGTGCCTTCGAGTCGTAGACGACTCATAATGATCCTATGAACAAAAGGCCGGAGCATTGAGCATATGAACAGTTCAGGCAGTGAGTAGCAAAGCTAAATGTCCAAGTCTATGAAAAGGCATGTTTAGTGCTAGGAAGTGCATGCACTGAGGGCCTAATAGATGAGAGTGTATCAGGTGGCAAGGCTGAGACTGGGAAATGATGCAGGGGCCTGACCATGGAGAGCTGCAGGTGCCGTGTGAGACTGAGTTTTAGACAAAGATGTGAAACAATTAGATCAACTTTAAATGGTCAGTCTGCTTGCTGTGGAGGAGGTCTGGTCGCACAGTCTCTGCTTCCATGAAGGTCACAGCCTTGGAAGCGCTGGGGGCAGTTCTACTCCTCACTGTAGGGTCTCCATGCATTAGGGTCAGTGTGAAGGCAAGGGGTGATTGGCTCTGCGGAGGGTGGATTTCATGGAAACCAAACTTAAGAGAGACCCTGTTAAAGACTTGTCATATTCCAGGCCAAGATGATGGGAATCCAAGTTAGTGTAGTAATGATGTGACTATGATGCTGATGATGAGAGTAAGAGTTAACATTTATAGAGTTATATATATTTATATAGTGCCTATTCGGATCCTGAAAGGAGCTCTTGTCACATAGGGGTAAGAAGCTGCACTGCAGTCACCCAAAGGCATGCAGTTCTAATCCACCAGCTCCTCCGAGGGAGAAGAATGGGCAGTCTTCTCTCCCGTGCAGTTTACTGCCTCTGAAAACCCACTGGAGGGTCAGCTATGGATCAGTTTCAACTCAATGGAATAGAAAAATAACATTCAACTCTTCTAAGCTTTTGAAATGCATCTTTACAGCTTATCATTGGGTTGGTGGCTCAGTGCTTTGACATTGTGCCACCAGGGCTCCTTAATCTTACCACTGTTAGGCACTCTCATTATCCTCATTTTAAAGAAAGGGTATTGGGATTATGAAGCGATTGAAAACCTTTCCCAAAATCACAAAGCAAGTAAAACAGATTTTGAGCCAGCGCTATCTGACATTAGATTTGGAACCCAGACATTCTGATTCCAGAGGCCAGGCTCTTAATAGCATCACTGCATCGTTCCCTGATTGAGAGGTGATGTGTCCCAGAGACACTTAGGCCTGGATCTTTTTTTTTGTGGTGGAGACTGTTTGTGTATTACAGAATTCATAACAGCATGTTGGCCTTCAACTTCTAGAGGGCAAAACCACCCCTCCAACTTGTGACAGTGAAATATGTCTCCTGTATATTCTTTGAAGTATGTTTAGGTGACAGGCTTTACAAGAATAAGTGATTGATTGAAGGTAGAAGATGGAGGCAAGGGTGACATTCTCGTTTCTAGGTGACGCATCTGTGTGGATGACAAGGTGCCACCAACTGAGAAAGACACTTAGAAGTTCAGACCAGTGCTGCTATGACAGAAATACCACAAGCAGATGGCTTTAACAAACAGAAATATTCTAACAATTTAGGAGGCTTGAGGTCCAGATTCAAGGCTCTACTTTTAGGGGAGGGCTTTTGCTCTGTGTAGGTTCTGATGGCAGGGAGGCCTGGGATTCCTTGGAGATCTCTATGTGTCTTGGGCTTCCCAGCACAGGAAACTTGAGGCAAAGGACACACTCTACTCCTGGTTCGTCTCTCTTGATGGTAGTCAGACCTCTCCACTCTGCTTGCTTCTTCTCTCATTTGGTTTCAAATGAGAAAAAGTGATGCAAGCCATACCTCAGGGGAACTCCCCTTATATCTGATCATGGTCATGACCTGTTTAAAGGGTGTTGTAAGCCTACACTTACAACTGATTGGCTGATCACGTCGGAGCAGCTGGTAGATTTGAACTGTTGACCTTTTGGTTAGCAGCATGACACTCCAGCACTAACACACCAGAGCTCCTTTGTTAACATTATCAGTCAAGTCATTGTTATGGAGTCAGAACCAGACCCGTAGCTGATCCTCCAGCAGACTTTCAGAGGCTGTATATCTGCAGTCAAAACTAGGCTGGGCCAGACAGTGGGTCAGATCATCAATTACTCACATGCAAGTTCAAATTGAGGCCAAAGAAAATGAAAATAAGACCATAGCAATGAAGATATGCTCTTGAATCTATTCCATCGGAATTTCATGATCATCTTTAGAATAGGTTTGAGACAGTGAACACCAATGATAGAAGACCAGATGAGTTGGGGGATGATATCAAGGATACCATCCATGAAGAAAGCAAAAGGTCATTACAAAAACAGGAGAAAGAAAAAACCGAAATGGATGTCAGAAGAGACTCTAAAGATTGCACTGGAATTTCAAGAAGACAAATCTAAAGGAAAACATGTCGAAGTTTCAAAGGGCAGCTTGGGAGGACAAAGCAAAGTCTTTAAATGGAATGTGCAGAGAGCTGGAAGTGAAGAATAAAAAGGGAAGAACTCACTCTGCATTACTCAAGCTGAAAACTAAAAAATTTATGCCCCATGTTACAAGGTTAAAAGATGGTATGGGCAATATATTGTATTAATGACCCATAAAGCATCAAAAGAAGATGGAGGAAATACACAGTCATTATACCTGAATGAATTGATTGACATTGAAGAGTTTCAGGAAGTACCGTATGAACAGGAGCCAATGGTAATGAAAGAGCAAGTGGAAGCTACATTGAAGGCATTGGCAAAAAAAATAAGGCTCCAGGAACCTATGGGATACCAATTGACTTGTTTCGATTAACAGATGCAGCCTTGGATGCACTCACCAGTCTATGCCAGGAAATTTGGAGGATGGCTGTCTGGCCAACTGAATATGGAAATTATAGAACAGTATCATTGATATATCACATTCAAGCAAAATACTGCTGAAGATCATTCAAAAACGGCTGGAATAGATAGGGAATTGCCGGAAGTTCAAACGGGATTTAAAAGAGGCCGTGGCACCAGGGATATAATTTCTGCTGTCAGATGGATCCTGGCTGAAAGTAAGGAATACAAAAAGAATGTCTATTTGTGCTTTATTGACTATGCATAGGCATTTTACTGTGTGGATCATGACAAGTTGTGGATAACATTGAGAAGAATGCGAGTCCCAGAGCACTTGATAGTGTTCATATGAAATTTATACCTGGATCAGGAAGCTGTTGTGTAAACGGAGCAAGGGAACATTGCCTGGTTTGGAATTGGGAAGGGACTGTTCTATCTCCATAACTGTTCAGTCTACATGCTGAGCCAATTACCCGAGAAGCTGGACTGTGTGGCATCAGAATTGGAGGGAGACTCATCAGATGATACAATATTACTTGCTGAAAGTGAGGAGGACTTGAAGTACTTGTTGCAGAATATCAAGGAATGCAGCCTTAAGTATCGATTGCATCTCAATATCAAGAAAACAAAGATTCTTAAAACTGGTCCAATAGGCAGTGTCATGATGGGTGGAGAGGAGATTGAAACTGTCGCCAACTTCATCTTGCTTGGATCCACAATTAACACCCTTCAGGAAATAAGGAGATGCATTGCACTGGGAAAATCTGCAATTAGGGACCTTTCCAGATTATTGAGGAGTAGTGATGTCAGTTTGAGGACTAAGGTGCATCTGATTCTGATTACTAGCTATTCATACAAAACTTGGACAATGAATAAGGATGACAGAAAAAGAATTGACGCCTTTGAGCTGTGGTGTTGGAGAAGAGCACTGAACATCCCATGGACGGTCAAGAAAATGAACAGATATGTCTTGCAGAGAGTGCAGCCTGAGTGCTCTTTGGAGGCGAGAATGATGAGGCTTCACCTCACATATATTGGACATGTTGTTAGGAAGAGTTATTTCTTGGACAGGAACATGATGTTGGGAAGGGTGGACGGTTGGTGAAGGAGAGGAAGACCCTCAAGCAGGTGGATTGACACAGTGACTCCTGCAGTGGGCTCATGTGTGTCAGGTAGTGTGAGGATGACGCAGGACAGGACTAGGTTCAGATCTTTTGTTCATAGGTTCACTATGAGTCGGACTTGACTCGACGGCACCTAACAACAGATTGCCTAAAAGATTGCCCATCTTTCTCTCGAGGAGCAGCTGGTGGGTTAGAACTGAATGCCTTTGGGTTCTAGTGACCCACTAGGTCACTAGAGCTCAATATTAACATCCTAAAGAGAATCCACCAGCTGTTCCATAAAGATGGGCCATCACCTCCTGGGTAATTTACTGCCTCTGTAAACCTACTGTAGGGTCAGCTGTGGGTTGGTTCCGACTTGATGGCACCCAACAGCAACAACAGAGGTAGGATAAGGGTTATACAACACATAGAATAATTCCATAATACTGAGAATCATGTCACATGGACACACACCCTGGGGGGACACAATTCAGTATAACAAGAGGAAAACGTAAAAGTCAGTTTGGGACTCTGATATTTAAAAATGGTCTGTCTGTAGTGGGATTGGATTGGAGAGGGAGCTTGCTAAGGACAAAGTAAAGGAAGCTATGGAAACAATTCATCCATAAAATGTCAATTTATTGTTAACTGCCTCTGGAAGCTTCAGCCTGCCCTCTGTCTCTGTCTGTTCCTAGAGCAACTTGCATTGTCCCATGATGAGGTTGTTGCATGCAGTTGAGTTGGGACTGACTCATAGCTGACCCTCTAGAGGGTTTTCAGAGCCAGTAAACCACACGGATAGTGATTGTCCATCTTTCTCCCTTGGAGCAACTGGTGGATTCGAACTGCATACCTTGTCCCATCATAGCATTTGTTATTGCTAATAGTGTTTGTTGTTGTTGTTGTTATGTACCATCCCACTGATTCTGATGCATATAGCAACAGTATAGGACAAGGAGACCAGCCCCATAGGGTTCCTGGGTTTCTGTAGGTTTCTCATGCATAATCTTTACAGGAAGTCGAACTAGTGGAGAGTTTGAACCACTGACCTTTTATTCACAGCGAAGTGCTTGAGCACAGCAGCACTAGGACTCCTTGCTCACTAAAAAAAATCCATAAAACTCACTACCATTGAGTCAGTTCTGGCACCCAGCGACCCTCTATGGGATCACCAACGCTGCAGTTGTCAATGAGAGAAGAGACTGCCCATCTTTCTCCTGAGTGAGACTCCTTATTCAGTGCAACAATTCATTGCCGTTGAGTCAGAACCAACTCATAGTGGACCCTCCAGCAAATTTTTAGAAGCAGCATGTCACATGGGAGGAGATTACCCATCTTTCTCCGGAGGAGTAGCTGGTGGATTTTAACTGTGTGCCTTTGGAATGGCAGCATAACTCTGTAACCACTAGGTTGCCAGAGCTCTCTCTGTAAGGGCCCATGGTTGGAGCTTAATAAGTATTTCTTGAGGAAATGGTTTCTCAACTAGTAAATAGTGAAGCAGAGACTAGACCCTGGTCCCTGACTCTAAAGCTGAAGCTTTTAACCATAAGAAAGAGTAGAAAGCAAGGGAGTAAAAGGTATTGTGAAGAGAGTTGTTTGCATGGTCGTCCATTGGCACAGATCAGTTTGGCTGGAACTGCCAGCCATTAGCTAATAATCTAAGAGAAATTTGAGATCAAATGTAGGTGAGAGTGAGACAGAGAGAAATGGAGGGACAGAAATTTTGGATCCTAGAGGCTTTCAAAGTCAAGTCGAAAGGAAGAAGGGTCCAACTGCTCACAGGTACTAAGTTTTATCACTGGTATTGTGCAATATGTGTCCTTTTGTAGCTGAGATATTTCACTTAGCATGATGTCTTCCGAACTCACCCATGTTGTGTAGTGTTTTACAAGTTGTTCGTTCCCCCAATGCTGCATAATATTCCTTTGTGTGAACGCACTATTGTGAATAATGCAGCAATAAATTCGGGTGTGCACAAATGTAACCCTTTAAGTGGGTGAATTTCTCATGTTGTGGGAACTACAACTCCACAAAATAGTCCTTTTCAAATGCCAGCTGACCCCTCTCTTTTTTGGCGTGACAACCCCAGGTGGTACAGCTGGACGTGAGGGGCAACATGGTGAAGCTCAATGATGGCTCTCAAATCACCTATGAGAAGTGCTTGCTTGCCACAGGTGAGTGTTTCTGGAGGTGGTGTCCCTCCCTGATGCCACTCCTTCATGCTGTTAGAGTCAGACTATCCAGAAGGCATTGCTTAACCAGAGTAAAACAGAAGCCAGACTTTGAAGAGGGTTTCTTGTCAGTGCAGTGTCTGGCCTAGTGTAGGTGACCTGTTCTGGATCGGTGGCTTCTTACTGCTTTTCTTTCCAGTAAAAGTATTGGATGTATGTTGAAGAAGTACCAAGTTCTTTTCTTTCTGCTCAGCCCTGAAAATGTTGTAGCCTTTGGTTTTATTGCTGGTTCCCATAAAAAAAAAATCAGGATGAAATGGTACAACCATTCTGGAAGGTAGTTTGGCATTTCCTCAAAAAGCTGAGTAGAAATTTCGTATGACCCAGCTATTCCACTTCTTGGAATATACTCTGAGAAAATCAGAACTTAGGCACAGAGATTTGTACACCAGTGTTCAGCATTATTCACCATCACAAGAACATGTAAACAGCCCAAATATCCAACCACAAACGAATGGCTTGAGAAATTATAGTACATTCACACAATGGAATACTATACAACACACAGGAGCAATAACTTTGTAAGTTATGACCTAACTTGGGAGGGACTGGAGAGCATTATGCTGAGTGAACTAACTCTGTCCCACAAGGATAAATATTATGTAAAACCATTATTGTGGAATGAGTATAAGGATCCAGGAGGGGTGGGAGAGGCTGGAAGCAGAGAGATATGGATGTGTAGGCTGAGGTCCCCCTCATTAATCATTGGGTTGTACAATTTGTTGAGGGGGGTTAAGGGAAATTGAAAGAATTTGGTCTTGATGTATTCGAATTTTATAAATAAACTAGTAGAAAATTTTTAAAAAAACAGGACAGAAGACTAAAAGGAAAAAACCCCATAAACAATACCATTGAATCAATTCCAACTCATTGGCAGTGTGTGTCAGAGTACAGCTGTGCTCTGGTAGGTTTTTAGTGGCTAGGGGAACTTGGGGCATTCGGGGAGTAGATGGCCAGATCATTCACCCAGGTCTCCTCTGGGTGGGTTTGAGCTGCTATTAACCAAGCACTTAACCAGGTGTACCAACTAGGGAGCGCTCCTGGAAGACTAAAGCCATTTTGTAAAGAGATTTCTAGTTAATCTGGAGAGGAGGCCTGTTGGCTGTGTATGGGAAGCTTGGGCTCCCTTGACGAAATCTGCTTCTCACAGGAAATTGATAAAAACCTGCTGTGTGGCAAGGAGAAGGGAAACAGCCGTCACATCCTGTTGATTCTGCAGGAGAACTAGTAGCGAGCACACACCCCAGCTGTGAATGAGGGCAGTGCCCACCAGTGACTTTGGGGCCCGATGCTGCTCATGGGGCTAAAGGGTTTCCCTCCTTTTCATTCCAGGAGGCACCCCAAGAAGTCTCGCTGCCATCGATAGGGCTGGAGCAGAGGTGAAGAGTAGAACAACGCTCTTTAGAAAGGTAATTGTTCAGTGCTTTGACTATGCTGGTTTTGGAGAGGTCATATAATCTTGCGGTTCCCAGATACCCACCCGGGATTTGAGACATCGGAGTTCTATTTATGGCTCTCCTACACACTTGTTCTCTGGCCTTGAGCAAGTCACTTCCCCTCTCTGTGCCTCAGATACCTCGATCAAGTATTTTAAGCTTCTAGGTGAAAACATTTGACATTTTTATCGCTCCTTCCTATTGCCCTTCTATAGTTGGTTTTGGTTTTTTGGGGGGTTTTTTCCTGCTGTCTCTTGACACATTTTATTTCTAGGAAGTTCTCTAGCCTCTTGGCATTTTACATGACAACTGATGTTATGGAGACTTTGGAGAGAGAAAAAAAATAGAGTGGCTAGGGAAGAATTGTCTCCTCCAGTGCAGCTTACTGCCTCTGAAAACTCCCTGGACGGGTCAGCTATGGGTCAGTTCTGACACAAGAAGTGAGAAGAGGAGAGAAGTTTCGCTTCCTAATTTTGCTTATAAAAAACAAAGCCAGGGGAGCTCTGGTGGCCTAGTGGCAAGGAACTGCAACTACAATCCCGAGGCGCACGGTTCCAATCCACCAGATGCTCTGCCGAGGAAGGAGGGACAATCTCCTCCTGTACCAGTCAGATCTGATTTGACGGTACGCGCGCGCGCACACACACACACAAAAAAAACAACAACAACAAAACAAAGCCAGTGTAACTCTCTAGCCACTGTTATGGTTATTTAATAAGGTGTGTTCTTAATAGAACATAATTTTTCAACCTTGGCACTAAAGACATTTTGGGTTTGATAATCTTCTATGGTGGGACTGCCCCATGCATCATAGGGTACTTAGCAACATCCATGGCCTCTACCTACTAGATGTTAATAGCACTACCCAGTCTCTCCAGACACTGACAAATGTCCCCTAGGTGAAAAGGGGGAAATGGGAGCCCCAAACCACCAGCAGTTGAGAGCCACTGTTGAGAGAAGGGATGTAACAAGTAACAGTGGAGAATGACGCTGAGCCACTTTAGACAAGGAGAAGATCCTTTATCTGTAAATTGCTGCCAGCAGAGATTTAGGGGCCAACATTTCCGAGGCGTCTTTGCCTGTGCCCCTCTGGGAAAATAACTGCGCTGGATTGCTGTGATCCTGCAGATCGGAGACTTCAGAGCGCTGGAGAAGATCTCACGAGAAGTCAAGTCCATCACGATCATCGGAGGCGGCTTCCTCGGGAGCGAGCTGGCCTGTGCTCTTGGCAGAAAAGGTAAGTGCTGGACCGTGACCCCTGTTGTTTTCTCCAGTCTTGGGTCACTTGCTTTCTGGTTGGCACTGGCAAATGCCAGTGGTAGATTCACCAGGCCCCACGTAAAAGGCATTTGATTAAGATTTATGTAACGAAAAGCTAAGGCACGCGGTTCAGATCCACCAGCTGCTCCACTGGAGAAAGATGGACATTCTACTCCCATGCAATTTACTGCCTCTGAAGAGCCACTGGAGGGTCACCTATGGGTGGGTCACTTCGGACTCTGTGGTGCTCAACAACGATGACAAGCTAAGCACTGAAATCCATTTCCGTGCAGGATCCCTCTGTCACTGTGCAGTTGTTATCTTAGGAAGGGGTGCTTTCTCCTTTTCCCCCCAGCCCCCAGGACTGGACTCCCTTAGGGACTGGGTTAAGGTGGTGAAGGCACTGTGAACTAGAGAAGAGTGGGTACCGTTTAACCAGTATTCCATGTAAGAGACTTCAGAACTTGATTCTGACACGTGATACAGTATTTTTGACAGTCCATTTTGACTATTTCCTGGCAACCATTTTTTAATAATATTCATTTGTTGTGGTTGAAATTATACACAATTGAGCATAATACCAAATCAACAAGTTTTTCAGGTAAGATTGTGTGTGTGTGTGTGTGTGTGTGTGTGTGTGTGTGTGTGTAAGGCATTAATGATGTTCTTCAAATTGTTCAACCATTCTCACCCTCCTTTTCTGTGTTGTCACCCATTAAACAAATTACAACCTCCTGAGCTTCTTATCAAAGCTTGTGAGATACCATTGCCAGCTTGATCTCATCTCAGTTTTTTGGGGGGGGCACAGGGAATGAGGGGACTAGAGAGAATAAAAGTTGGGGGGGTTCCGTGTGAAATACCAATAAAATAAAACAAAATAAAGTTAAGGTTTACATCTCACATTTTAAAGAACACATTGCTCAAGGCAGACAGTATTCATTAAGCTCACCTATTGGCAACCATTTTCCTTACTGATATTTCTCAGCTTTTGTGAAACCTGGGCATCTTGTCAGAAGGATGCTTCCTGTTCAGAGATTCCTAAGCACTTGCGCAAGCCTGAAGTCACCACATGGCTGTCAGGGCACTGAGTTCACAGTGTAATGCAGGGACAACATTCCTGGCACCTGCCGTATTTGCCTTAGGAATGAACTCTAGCACGAGGGCCCTCTGTCCCAGTGCCCCACAAATGGAAGCTCTGGCCTGGACCACAGCTTTGCCTTACGTTTGGTCAGTGGCTGCCCACTGCTGTTTGACTTCTTTCGTGTCTCCCTAGGGCTGCCTGCACCTTTTAACTACTTTTTCTTCTTCACAGCTCAAGCGTTGGGCACAGAAGTGATTCAGCTCTTCCCCGAGAAAGGAAACATGGGAAAGGTCCTCCCTGAATACCTCAGCAACTGGACCATGGAGAAAGTCAGCCGAGGTAAAGAGATCTCCTTCCGTGGGATGCAACTCATTTTCCTCTGAGCTGGGCCTCAACTATATCACCCAGCTGATAGAATGTTGCAGTTATTTGCCAGTCAGCCAGGTTTATGCTGAGACTCTAAATCGGAGACACTGAAGCTGCCCTCCTGAAAGCTCTTGATTTTACAGTAAATTGAATGTTTCTTGTCTGCATCCTACAAAGGCTGACAGGCTGAGCTATAGGTCTTGTTTACCTTTACAGAGGGTGTTAAGGTGATGCCCAATGCAATTGTGCAGTCAGTTGGAGTCAGCGGTGGCAAGTTACTCATCAAGCTGAAAGACGGCAGGAAGGTAAGGAGGGGAGGAGAGGCTGCTGGGAGACCGTCCAGCTCTCCTCACCCCGTCCTCATTCTTTCTCCTTCATTTGATACCAGTAGATTAGTTTTCTTGGAAGCCATCAGTAGCCTCTCATCCTTTGCAGAATTAATTGTCCCTCCGTTATTAGGTGACTCATAACAAATTAGGGATAACATTGCAGAGAATGGGAATGCCGGAACACTTAAATGTGCTCCTGTGGAACCTGCCCATAGACCAAGAGGCAATCATGTGAACAGAACATGGACACACTGCATGGTTTAAAATCTGGAAAGGTGTGCGTCAGAGTTGTGTCCTTTCACTATACCTATTCAGTCTCTATGCTAAGCAGATAATCTGTGACAGCTATATGATGAAGAATGTGGCATCAAGACTGGCGGAAGATTCATTAGCACCTTAACCTGTGCAGATAACATAACTTTGCTAAAGTCAAAGAGGATTTGAAGTACTTACTGATGGAAAGCAAAGACTGCCACATTTACTGGGGATTACACCTTGACTCGATGGCACCTAACAGCAACAACTTTGGACATACTATCAGGGGAACTAATCCCCAGAGAAGGACATCATGCTTGCTACTATAGAGACAAAGGAAGATCCTCAACAAAATGGATGAACAGAGTGGCTGTAACTATGGCCTCAAACATAGCAACAGCAGGGAAGGTGGCAGGGCACTGTTTTGTCCTGTTGTACTTACGAGTCAGAACTGACTCAGCAGCATTAACAACAACAGCAAATGTCCCTCTATTAAGATAGAGAAGAGCTCAGGTGTCCCCTGTCCTCACGGCATCTTGATTTGGACTCAGCAACCCTGTAGGACAACGTAAATCTGCCCCATAAGGTTTCCAAGGCTATAAATCTTAACCGGAACAGACTGCAGTTCTCTCCCTCAGAGCAGCTGACGGGTTCCAATCACCGGCCTTCCTGGTTAGCAGCCCAGTATTGTCTATGGGATAGATTGTCAGTCCTTCCTAGGATGGCAGATTTCTCTTCAGAAAATATAAAAGTGTATGTGGAGGCAGTACCTCTATGACATAGAATGTAAAAGCTGTTTTAATTTTTTTTTTAAAAAAAGCACAGTCTTAAGGTTGCTAAGTGGAAATTGTGAAGGGTGACGGAATCATTTCTGTGTTTCCCCAGGTTGAAACTGACCACATAGTGGCAGCTGTGGGTCTGGAACCCAATGTCGAACTGGCCAAGTCTGGTGGGCTAGAAATAGACTCGGATTTTGGTGGCTTCCGGGTAAATGCAGAGCTGCAGGCACGCTCCAACATCTGGGTGGTAAGTGTGAACAAGTCTGCCCCGCAGTGTGCGAAAGCTCATCCACAGCCTAACCCGGTATGAGCACAAAGTGTCTGCAGGCTGCGAGCGGAGGAGAAAAAGCTGTGAATTGCTTGATTTACAAGGTCAGGTATGACCGCTCCTGCACGCCAGTGGAAAATGAACAGAACAACATGAGGGCGAGGGGAAGTGGAGCCTTTCCGGTGGTACTGCGGGCAGCGGCCAGCAGCCTGACCCCCGGCGGCCACGTGCACAGAATCCAGCCTCCTCGCCTTCCCTGTGCTCCAGCATGCGTCCGGGGAGTGGGAGCTGAATGGACAGCCGAGAAAGGAAAAGCACTCTGGTCTCATTTTCCTTGCAGGACTATTTTTAGTTGTTTTTAAAAACTCTATTATGACACAAACAAGACTAGAGTATGTAGGACTCGTGAGATCATTTCCTTTGTTGTTAAATCACTTTACAAGAGTATTGTGTTTGATCTCAAACTCTTCAGCTAGCAACATAGAAACATGGGAGGGATCCTCGGGGTCCCCGCATTTAAAAGCTTTCATTTTTTTAAAATAAGTTGACTGGGTTAATTGAACCTGTTATAAATGTAACGCACATTTAATACAGAAGACTCAGACAAGGAGAAAGGGGGGATACACTGTGGCACCTGTGACTTTTGCGATATATTTCCTGCCCTTCGTTTGCTCATGCAGCTTTTCGCCTTTGTGTTACCTGGTTGCAGCGAGCATACTACAGATCAGCATTTGAATTCTCTTTTGTTGTTGTTTCCACTTGACATCATAGCGTCAGTATCTCTCATATTACCGCACACTCTGTAAACAGTGCGATGACTGGCCAGTATTCCTTCAAGTGAATTTCTTTCACACATTGTGTACCAGCGATCTGTTTCTGGAGTTTTAATTGCATTGATGAAGTTTGAATGGCCACAAAAATCATCAAAGGGTTGAAGATCCGAAGTACCACATCATTCGTAAAACTGGTCCTGTTCTACGTCCCCACCCCGCCTCCACCTGGGGCCTCTCCTCCTCTTTCTTTGAAACACTCGAGCTGCACCTTTCATGTGCTTTCCTCCATCACATCTGTAGTCATAGCCACTATTGCATCTTTTTCTACTGGGTTATTCACTCCTTGTAGGCAAAGTCCACGCAGATTCATCTCTTCAGTCCAGACACCATGACACTTTGTTCATATGATAAAAACTCAGTTAATATTTGAATAAACAAATGCTGGGTAGCAAAAAACCAAAACTTATTTTGGAAAATGGTTTCTAGGTAAGAGGCAGTCACTTCTAAACACTGGTTTTCACATAATACAAAAGAATATCCTTCAGATGATAGTAATTGAGGATTATTTCTCTGATAAGGACAGAATGAGAAGAAATAGACTTAGACTGAAGCATGAAAGATTTAAGTTAGCTTTGTAGAAGATAGAAGAATAAGGTATATTTTTTAAAAAGTGGAACCTCAACTGTATTTCATAGTTTAATTTTTTTTCTGGCTTGTATATGGAAAACATTAATTGGTTGCAAGGGTCCTCCAAGCCACCCCAAATCACCCCCGATTTCAGTTCTGTTCTGGTTTTGACTTGCTTTTTCACCTTATGTGTTTGTTCCCAAAGGCGGGAGATGCTGCATGCTTCTACGACATAAAGCTGGGTAGGAGGCGAGTAGAGCACCATGATCACGCTGTTGTGAGCGGAAGATTGGCTGGGGAAAATATGACTGGAGCTGCTAAGCCATACTGGCATCAGTCAATGTTCTGGTAATATTTGTTTTCCTTGTGAACTCACAGATGACAGTTTGGTTTCCTTAAGAGAGCCCTGTTCAGCTTGCATTGCACTAGGTAAAGAGTTGACATTGCCGTTTCCAGAAAAATAGCCCAGATTAGTGACCTACAGTAGGTGGTAGCCGAGTGTCCCCTTAAGAATAGATATTATATTTCCTTTTGTTCTACGCTGCTAATTCTAATGAATCTAATGCATTGAAAAACAGATGGCCCATTCATCCATAACCCTAAGATCGAGACTGCAGAGGCATTTCTTTGGTTAAAGAAAGCTCCTCAAGGGAGCTCTGGTGGCCTAGTGGCAAGAAACTGCACTGCAATCCCAGAGGTGTGTGTTTAGCTCCACCAGATGCTCTACTAAAAAAGGAGGGACAATCTCCTCCTGTACCAGTCAGATCCAGTTTGATGGTTGTTGTTGTTATGTGCCTTCGCGTCATTTGCGACTCATAGCGACCCTATGTACAACAGCCCTAAACCCTGCTCTAGCCTGTGCCAATCACACTGCCTCTGACACACCCATCCCGATTACCCCAGTCACTGAATCAATCCACCTCATAGAGGGCCTTCCCCTCTTGTGCCGTCCCTCCACCCTCCCAAGCATGATGTCCCTCTCCAAGGACCGGTCCCTCCTTGCAACATGTCCAGAGTATGTCAGACGAAGCCCCAGAATCCTTGCCTCCAAGGAGCAGCCTGGTTTAACGCTCTCCAGGAAGAATCTGTTTGTTTTCCTAGCAGTCCCTGATATATTCAGTACTCTTCTCCAGCACCACAGCTCAAAGGCATTAACTCTTCTTCTGTCCTCCCTAGTCATTGTCCAACTCTCTGATGCATAACAAGTGATTGCAAAGACCATAGCCTGTATCAGACGCACCTTAGTCTCCAGAGTGACACAATTGCTCTTCAGTAGTTTTGAGAGGTCCCTAACAGCAGACTTTCCCATAGCAATATGTTTTTTGATTTCCTGGTTACTGGTGCCAAGAGTGTTGACCATGGAGCCAAGGAGACTAAAGTTGTTAACAATCTCAATCTCTTCACCATCCATCCAGATGCTGCCAGTTGGTCCAGTGGTGAGAATCTTTGTCTTCTTGACATACACTCATAAAAAAATAATGAAAATTTTAAAAAAGAAAGCTCTGCAGTGGACATTCCCAAACACTCAGGCTGGCCCTAGTTGGCCGTTTTTCATTTTGTTGATTCAAAAGATGCACTTCATAAACAATGTAAAGGTTGCAAAAGCCTCTGAGCTATTTCTGTTAGAGACAGTTCTCAGCTGATGGGAATACATTTACGGGAGATCACACATAATTTAGTGAGTAGGGCAGCAAAAACAGATGGGTTTCAGGGTCAACTCATGTAAGGTAATGCAGTTAGGAGAAAGTAGTCTATAACTAGACATTTGCCAGTTAGTCCTTAGAGACTCTTCATGGGAGATACCAGTGCAGCGAGCTACTATGGCCAAGAAGATAGCAGAGTATAAGACGCCAGAAACAAAGCAGCTAAGATGCCCTCACTTGCTAGAAAACCATGGTATGTGTGTGCCCAGAACTTGCTCTGCAGTTCCTAGCACATTAAGGAGGCTATGATGATGATTGGGGAAGGTCCAAGAACAGTCTGATAACCCTTTAGAAGAATGTGTTTCAGTCTTGAAAAATGAAGACTGAAAGGAGATACCATTAATGAAACCAAAATTCACCTCAGATGCTGTATTACATAAATATGTCCCCCCAAAAAAGGCAACCCGACAGAGTGTGGAAATTTTCGTACAATATCACTAATATCACACACAAGCAAAATCCTGCTGGAGATTATCCAAAAATGACTGGGACAGCACATTGACAGAGAACTACCAGAAATACAAGCTGGGTTTAGAAGAGGCCGTGGCACTTAAACACTTTATAGCCAATGTCAGATGGATCTTGGCAGAAAGCAGAGAGTACCAGAGGGATATCTATCTGTATTTCACTGACCATGCAAAGGCATTTGACTGTGTGGATTACAGCAAATGTGGTTAACCTTGAGGAGAATGAGAATCTCAGAACACTTGTTTGTGCTTATGCAAAACCTATACTTGGACCAGGAAGCAGTCCTCAGAACAGAGAAAACTTGGCGTGATTCAAAATCAGAAAGGGAGTACGTCCTGTCTCCATACCTTATCAATCTATATGCGGAACAGATCATTCAAGATGCTGGGCTTTATGAGGAGGAATGTGGCATCAGGATGGGAGGAAAATTAGGCAGATGGCAGAACCTTGCTTGCTGAAACTGAGGTGGACTTGAAGCGCTTGCTGCAGAAGGTCAAGGACTGCAGTCTCCAATATGGACTGAAGCTCAGCATCAAGAAGACAAAGATTCTCACCACTGGGCCAATTGGCAGCACCATGATGGATGGAGAAGTGGTTGAGGTTGTTAACAGTTACTCAGCTCCAAAATCAACACTCTTGGCACCACAGTTAGGAATTAAAATGATGAATGTCATTAGGTAAATCTGCTATCAGGGACCTCTCCAGAGTCCTGAAGAGCAGCAATGCCAGTCTAGAGACTAAGGTGCACCTCGTCCAATCCATGGTCTTTGCAATGACTTGCTGTGCATCAGAGAGCTGGACAATGACTAAGGATGACAAGAACTGATGCCTTTGAGCTGTCATGCTAGAGAAGAGTCTTGAACATACCATGGGCTGCCAAGAAAACAAGTGTCTGGAGAGAGTGAAACCAAGTTTTTCCTTGGAGGCTAGGATTTTGAAGCTTTGTCTCCATACTTTGGGCATGTGGCCAGGAGGGACCAATCCCTGGAAAAGGACATCATGTTCTGAAGGGTGACGGGACAGCACAGGTGAGGAAGACCACGAATGAGATGGATTGATACAGTAACTGGGGCAATAGAGGTGGGTGTGGTGGAGTCAGGGAGACTGACTCAGGACATGGCAGGCTTCAAAGCTGCTGTACGTAGGGTCACTGTGAGTTGCAGGTGACTCGATGACACATAACAACAACAATCTTTTAAAAGCCTCGGAAAAGCAGTTTCAGGACAAGTTAAAAGAAGGTCATTGTTAAGTACTGCCAAATCAGAATTGGCACATAGATGACCCTCCAGCAGGTTTTCAGCGGCAGTAAATTGCACGGGAGGAGATTTCTCCTGTAGAACAGCTGCTGGATTCGAATCACGAGCCTTTGGGTTAACAGCACAACTCCTTAACTACGAAGCCATCAGAAGGTCATGTGGTCAAATGGTGGAACTCATCACTCCCCAAATGTGGAGTGACGGCAGGGGGAGGGGGAGCTGTTTTAATAGACTCACACCATTATATGGATTTATGATTTGTGTAAAGGCTTCTGAAGGAATTCAGAATGGGGACAAACCTCCTTTCTCACAATTGTCTCTTCCCACCCTGGTGAGAGAAAGAAGAGTCAGCTTTTTTCTTGTTGTTTTTTGGTTGATATAAAGTGCTGTGTCTTAGAGAACGTGTGTCGTCATGTTGTTCCTTCTACTCCCTTGCTAGAACACCCTCTTCTCTGTTCTTCCTTAGGAGTGATTTGGGCCCCGACGTTGGCTTTGAAGCGATTGGCCTTGTGGACAGTAGTTTGCCCACAGTTGGTGTTTTTGCTAAAGCCACTGAACAAGACAACCCCAAATCTGCCACCGAGCAGTCAGGTAAGAATGCCCAGTCACCTCTCTTGCAAGGGCATTGAGGCAGTGGTCCGAATTTTCCTGAACAAGGGGTTTCTGTATTGGGCCAGAGGAAGCCCTCAGTGAAAGCCTCTCTTCATACTATGCTTTAAAATAAACCAGATCCAAAGTTGTCCCTCTTTAGTGGTCTGCCATCTGGCCGAATCGGCCATCCTGGTCAAGGCATATAGACTCAAAGATTGTGGACCTCTCCCTGAGACTCTGGATGGCGGCTGACTGGCCGACTCTGTGGTTTCGTTTGTCTCTAGAGAATAGGAAAACATGTGTAATGAAGAAAATCCTTTTATAGTTTTGTTTTGCTTCTGGCCAATCTCAGGAACTGAGAATGCAAATGTTAACTTAGGAACTGCTATCCTTCTCAGGCCCCAGGCCTCGCAGAACTGGCCTGAGTAGTTTGTGAGCTGTCTCTCATTCCATTTAATGGAGCGAAATGCCAGATTTTCTGGCAGCAGGAGGCACTTCTCTTGAAATGGACTTCTCTCCCACACACATCTTCTTTATTAACTCCAGGGCCTCTCACTCTCTCCCTTCTCTAACCTTGGCTTAAGTTATTTAACCTCTGTGTCCTTTTGCCAGAGGTGTTTCAAGGGCAGGCAGCTTTTTATGAAGGAAAACATAATGCCTGTGTGGGGACTTCTTTTGTTCTGTGGTATATAGGGTCTTTTGAGTGGGAACTGACTCCACACGACCAAACAACAGGGGCCTGTCGCGTGTAATTCAAGTTACCCTCTCTTCTGACCTCTCTTGCTGTGTTCAGTGCATTAACCACTTGTCACAGTGACGAATGCATGCTGGAAAAGTGACTATGCAATTGAGGAACTGGCGTTTTCATTTGATTTCATGTTAATTACTTTTAATAGCTATGTGTGGTTAGCCCCTCCCATACTAGAGAGTATCTCTGGAGTGTTTAGCCGTCATCTGTAGTTAATCAAGTCTTCCTAAGCAAGTCTTTTGTGTATTATTGTTACTGTTGTTGTGTGCCATCTAGTCAGAACTGACCCGTAGCTGACCCTCCAGTGGGTTTTCAGAGGCAGTAGATCGCACCAGAGGAGATTGCCCATCTTTCTCCCATGGATTTGAACCACGTGCTTTTGAAATTGCAGTGCAGTTTCTTACTACTAGGCCACCAGAGCTTCCTACTCTTCTTGCTTGGTACCTCAGTATTGAATGAACAAATGAAATCCAGATATCATAAAATACAGCATCAATTTCAGATTACTAAAGCAGAAAGGTAATTTTGGGGGAGATTGACCCAGTGCCAAGAGCTGAAGAGATCTAGAAAAGCACATAATCTGGAAGTACACTTAAAGACATCTGCCTTCTAGAATTTCCCAAGCTCATAGTAACTGAAGTCTTGCCTCTGCTTGTTGGGGGGCTGGCCACAGGGACTGGTATCCGGTCAGAGAGTGAGACAGAGTCCGAGGCACAAGACATCGCCCTTCCTTCAAGCAACCCAGCAGTCCCACAGGCCCCTTCTCAAGGAGAGGACTACGGCAAAGGCGTCATCTTCTACCTCAGGGACAAAGTGGTGGTGGGGATCGTGCTGTGGAATATCTTCAATCGGATGCCAATAGCCAGGAAGGTAGGTGCCCGGCAGAGCCCTTAGAGGAAGATAGGGACGTGCAGGTTGGGACCTAGTCCTGTGACTTCCTCCATTGCCCTGATGGCCATTGTCCACCTGGGTCACCTTGTGCTCCAGCAGAACAAAGCAGAGCCTTGGCTCAGGACATTTCTTTTTTGACTTGAGACTTGGCTGCGTGGGCATCCCACTTGCTCTGAATTCACAGAAAGCTGTTCCCACAACTCCCTCTTCGTGGGATGTGAGCCCTGGCCCAAGCTGCCCCATTGTGTGGCCCTGGTGTGAATGCAGATGGAACAAGGGAGTAACCCCTTGTTCCTTTTACCCTCAGATTATTAAGGACGGTGAACAGCATGAAGATCTCAATGAAGTAGCCAAGCTCTTCAACATCCATGAAGACTGAAGCCCACAGCAGAGTGGGCAGGCGCTTCTCTGTCCCCGACAGAGGGTGGAATGGGTACTGGAGCATTCTTTTTTATTGAGCAAACTTCCTCTGTGTGTGTGCGTGTGAATGACCAAATCCTCTGTGAATATTTTCAATCATGTTCTTAATGTCCACATCACGAAATAAAACTTGATTCTTTTCAATTCCGTTTTGTTCCCTTGTGAAGGAGGGTGGTGGGTGAAGGCGGAAAGCTATACAGAAGAGAATACAACCAGTAGACACTGACGCAAGTGTGGTTTTCTCAGCATGTCTCCCCCACTCCAGGCTTGAGACTTCTTTCAGTTCACTGACCTACTCTCTGGCCCACTAACCCCCACAAGGGGTGAAGATGGGCGTGGGCCGAAAGCACACTAACTGCAAGTGGAAAGAAGACTTCAGAGACCCGAGGCATGACAGCAGTTTCATAGTTTCATGGCCAGGCCTAGACTGAGTCTTGTAAGTATCATGATCACTTGACTCTGCTCACTATCACCCAGTTCTTCTCAATGTTATCCAGAATTTGTTATAATCCGCACAGACAAATGCCTTTGCATAATCAATAAAACACACGTTAACATCCTTCTGTTATTCTCTGCTTTCAGCCGGGATATACCCCATATCAGTAGTGATAACCCTTGTATCATGGCCACTTATAAAACCAGCTTGAACTTCTGGAAGTTCCCTGTCAGTGTACTGTTCCAGCCATTTTTGGATGATCTTCAGCAATGTTTGGCTTCCATGTGATATTAATGATATTGTTCAATAATTTCCACTTTCTGTAGGATCTTCTTTCTAGGGAATGGGAGCAAAAACAGATCTCTTCCAGGCAGTTGGCCCTGTAGCTGTCTTCCAAATTTCTTGGTATAGGCTAGCAAGCACATCCAGGATTCCATATGTTTGTTGAAACATAATTCGTTGAAACACCTGTTCTATCCTATGCCAACCTTATTGTCTCTGGCACACCAACCCCCATTACCACAATCACTGAATCAATTCATCTCGTCGAGGGTCTTCCTCCCTCTCTTGCGCTGTCCCTCCACGCTGCCAAGCATGATGCCCCTCTCCAAGGACTGGTCCCTCCTTGCAACATGCCCAGAGTATGTCAGATGAAGCTTCAGAATCTTAGACTCCGAGGAGCAGCCTGGTTTCACCCTCTCTAGGATGAACCTGTTTGTTCTAGCAGTCTATGGTATATTCAGTACTCTTCTCCAGCACCACAGCTCACAGGCATCAATTCTCCTATCATCCCTAGTCATTGTCCAGCTCTTTGATGCATAGCACTTAATTGTGAAGACTATGACCTGAATCAGGCACATCTTAGTCTCCAAACTGACATGGTTGCTCTACAGTACTCTGGAGAGGTACCTGACAGCAGACTTTACCAATGGAATTTGTCTTGATTTCCTGACTGCTGGTGCCAAGAGTGTTGATTGTGGAGCCCAGCAAACTGAAGCTGTTAACAATCTCAATCTCTTCACCATCTATCATGATGCTGCCAATTGGCCCCGTGGTGAGAATCTTTGTTTTCTTGATGTTGGACTTCAATCCATATTGAAAGCTACAATCCTTGACCTGCAGCAAGTGCTTCAGGTCCTCCTCAGTTTCACCAAGCAAGGTTGTGTCGTCTGCATGACGTATGTTGTTGATGAGTTTTCCTCCAATCCTGATGCCACATTCCTCTTAGAGCCCAGCTTCCTGGATGATCTGTTCTGCATATGCTCGGGTATTAGCCATCAAGAAATCAAAAGACATGTTGCACTGGGAAAATCTGCTGTGAAGAACCTCTCCAAAAGTGCTAAAGAGAAATGTCAGTTTAAAGACTAAGATGCACCTGATCCATGCCATATTTGGGTTGTTGGGGTTTTTTTTTTCCAATTTCTTGTTATGCATCTGGAAGTTGGACAATGACTGAGGAAGACAGCAATGCTGTTGAGTTGTGGTGTTGGGGGAGAGTATTGACTATCCCTACACCACCAAAAGGACGAAATCTATCTTGGAGGGAGTCCAAGGGTGCTCCTTAGCGGCGTGCGTGGGGAAACTTTGTCTCACATGCATGTCGTCAAAAGGCCCCAGTCTGTGCAGAAAGACAGACTGGGAGAGGTGGAAGGTCAGAGAGAGGGACATCTTCAACAAGGTGGATCGACACAGTGACTCACAATGCCTTCAAGCGTGTTGGAGATGGTGAGGGTGGTTCACGGTAGAGAAAGGTTCGAATCTGGTGGTGGTCATCGGGTTGCTATGAGTCAGAGTGGCACAGACAGCACCTAACAACAGCACTGTAGCCCCAACTAGAAATTCTCGCGTCTCCTGGCTCTTTTGGGCTAAAATATTCTTAGACTTTACAGATGCTTTCCTGAGACAAGACAAATCAGCTCATCTTTTTTGCATTTTTATTCACTTCGCTTTTATGCACTTTGCTGTTATAGATCAAAGCATAATTAGAAAGACTTCTCATGACTTCTGTGAGTCCTTTTATTAGTCTATGTAAAGATGAAATTTTTTTCTGTCTGCATAGATTCCTATAGAATTGGTTTAAAGGGAGGAGCAGCTATGGACGAAGCCCCTCCGTGGCATGACACCAGAAGAGCCAGCTGGTGCACTGGAGCACGTCCTGTGTTCACAGGTTTAGGGGGACATGGTCTGGTACGTGCCATACCCGCATGCATATGTAGAAAATTCATCTAGCATCCTGTGAAATAGAAATGATTATTGTACAGTCATAACTGCTGCTTAGAAATGGGCGGGCAGACACTCAGATCCTGGCACGCGCCACACATCTTTCAAATACCAAATTGTCCTACTGTTTATGCGCCGTTTAGTGTTACTATTTCGTAGTTGTCCTTGTATGTAATTGTAACTCAGTTACAATGAACGATCTGTTCAATTAAAAAGTGTGTACTGAGTAATGACTCTGAACCAGCTAGAAGTAAGAATGGGAGGAAGGAGAAAGCATAGTCATTAATTACTGTTAATGTCACTGAGGGCGACATTACAGCACAGTCAGAGAAGCACTAAGTGCTGTGGACATGCCAAGAATGGAGTGATCAAACACATGTTTCTCTGCCACCTTCACGTGTCTCTCCATCCCCTCGTGTCTGAAGAGTTATTTTACTTTTTACTGTACTTTGAGTGAATGTTTACAGAGCAAATTGATATTCTACTCATCCATTTATACACGTTTACTTTTTTCTTATTTTTTATTATTTTTGTGGGAGTGTACCGTCAAATCAGATCTGACTGGTACAGGAGGAGATTGTCCCTCCTTCCCCGGCAGAGCATCTGGTGGATTTGAACCGACAACCCTGCTTGCTGAAACTGAGGAGGACCTGAAGCGCCTGCTGCAGAGTGTCAAGGACTGCAACCTACAATATGGATTGAGGCTCAATGTCAAGAAGACAAAGATTCTCACCACTAGACCAATTGGCAGCATCAGGATGGATGGTGAAGAGATTGAGATTGTACACAGCTTTAGTTTGCTTGGCTCCATAGTCAACAGTCTTGGCACCAGCAGCCAGGAAATGAAAAGGCGCATTGCCATGGGAAAGTCTGCTGTTAGGGACCTCTCCAAAGTGCTGAAGGGCAATGGTGTCTCTCTGGAGACTAAGGTGCGTCTGATACAGGCCATGGTTTTTGCAATCACTTGTTATGCATCAGAGAGTTGGACAATGACCAAGGAAGATAGGAGAATTGATGCCCTTGAGCTGTGGTGCTGGAGAAGAGTATTGAGAATGCCATGGACTGCTAGGAAAACAAACAGATTTGTCCTGGAAAGGGTTAAACCGGGTGGCTCCTTGGAGGCAAGGATTCTGAGGCTCCGTCTAACTTACTTTGGACATGTTGTGAGGAGAGACCGGTCCTTAGAGAGGGACATCATGCTTGGGAGGGTGGAGGGACAGCGCAGGAGAGGAAGGCCCTCTATGAGGTAGATTGATTCAGTGACTGGGATAATTGGGATGGGAGTGTCAGAGACAGTGCGATTGGCACAGGACAGAGCGGAGTTTAGGGCTGTTGTACATAGGGTCGCTATGAGTCGCAGGCGACTTGAGGGCACATAACAACAACCACCACCTCTGGGATTGTAGTTTCAGCTCCTTGCCCCTAGGCCACTAGAGCTCCCCAATACACATTTACTTTTATAACATTAATTAGCCCCCACTGGACTGATAGGCAACATTATGATAGATGGAAAAAAGATTAAAAATGGTGAGAGAAACTTTAGGGACATGGTCTGAAAAACAATATTTGAATTTATTAATAAGCTAGTATAACAATTTTTTTTTTAAAAATCAATATAAAAACAAAAAAAGATCAATGACTTCACCTTACTTAGATCCACAATCTATATACTTGGTACCAGCAGTCAGGACTGCACTGTTAAAGTTTGTAGTAAGGGACATCTCTAAACTACTGAGGAGTGATGATGTCAGTTTGAGGACTAAGGTCCATCTGATTCAGGCCATGATCTTTCCAATCACTTGCTGTGCATCTGAGAGGTGGACAATGAATAAGGATGACAGAAAAAGAATTGATACCCTTGAACTGTGTTGGGTGAAGAGTACTGAATATCCCATGGACTGCCAACAGAACAAATTGTGGTCTTGGAGAAGTTGCAGCCAGAGTGCTGCTCCGAGGCAAAGATGATTGCTAGGAGGGACTATTCCTTGGAGAGAGACATCATGCTTGGGAAGATTTAGGAATGGTGAAGGAGAAGACTCAATGAAATGGGTTGACACAGTGACTGGAACAATGGGCTCTGAGGATGGCACAGGATAGAACAGTGTTCTTATCTGTTCATAGGGTCGCTATAAGTCATACTCAACTAGATGGCATGTTAGTAATGGCACTTGTCCCATATTCTCCATGTTATTCTCATTTCCATTCATCCTTTCTCCTTATGCCTTTTGAGCTTTCTCCCTATGTCACTGTTGTTCTTTTGGACTTATATGGTTGCTTGTTCTAAGGAGTTGATACCTCCCTAGTTTTATTGTTCACCTTATTTGTGGTTCTTGGGTGCCACAGAGGGAGTTCTGGCGGCCAAGTGGCAAAGAATTGTGCTGCCAGTGCTGTTCGGATCTACCAGATGCTCCCCGAGAGCACGATGGGTAAACACCTCTCATGATTTACAGCCTCTGAAAACCCTCTGGAGAGTCAGCAATGAGTTGGTTC